TTTTTTCCCCTCAGAGAGGAGCTGAGGCCTCCAGGCCCAGGCGTGAGGGGGAAAATGGCGCCCATGCTCAAACGCGGTTTAGTTTATTTCCTTCTTGAGATCGCTTGGAAAATTTCACTTTATTGCACGGAAAACCTTTGGGAAAAAATAAAAAAAAAAGAAAGAAAGAAAAGAAATTAAACCCCCTCCCCACACCCTTCTCCCTGTGCAAATCATAAAAAAACCTCAGCAGGAGAAAACCTCAAGAGCTGCCTGGCCAGCGAGCCGCGCACAGGCCGCGGTGTCTTTGGTACCAATCCGCCAATTCCACGGAAAATCCACAGAAAATCCACGGAAAATCCGCAAATCCGCCCTGCTGGGATCAAGAACTGGATGCAGAAGGATGTTCAGAGTGTTTTAATAACAAAGCATTCCAAGGCAAGTTGATCACAAGGAGGAGGGAGGGGGTGGCTCTGCTTCCTGCCGGCCCTCCCCTGCTCCGCGCGCACTCGTGGCAGTTCAAACAAAGCAAAAAAACCCCAGAAATTATTCATAATAATATATATTTATATGGATATTTATATCTCCCCCTAGTCAAGGCATGTTGCAGAAAGTCCCCAAAAGTCCGTGCCGCCGACCATGCCTTTGTTTTTGGAGCACCAATCTCCCCCAAATCTCTTTTTTTCTTTTTTTTTTTTGTGTAATGTCCTCAATAACTTAAGCCAAGAGTCAGCTGCTGCCAGGATATCACTGAAACTTAACCCGAAAAAACAAAACTTTACAGGAAATCTGCACAAGAAACATTTATACTTGAAGCAACCAGCCATACACCAACATAATTTATAGATATTTATATATATATAAAAAAACCCCATTTGTGTCATCCAACTCACGGCTAGTAGAAAGATGGCTGCTCAGAGAAAAGGAAGCTGACTGGCATCCGATGGCTGAATTAATTAATCCACGGAATTAATTAAAGTGTCCCTTGCAACTGCCCTCAAGCAGCGGCGGGGACTCGAGATCTCTTTATTTTCTTTTTTTTCTTTAAACAAAATACATATGGCTGACGTAAAAATATCAGTTTCTGAGCTAAAGAAAACTAGATTTTTTTTCTTTTTCTTTTTTTTTTCTTTTTTTTCTTTTTTTGCATAATATTTATAGAGCATTATTTCTCCCTCCCCCCCCCCAACTCCTAAAATGGAAACTAGAACGACAAAAATAGAGGAAAAACAAACTAAAGGAACGACCAGACCCTTTGTGGCAAACCCTGCCAGTCACAGATTTCTGGGAGTGACTTTGAGAGCCTCCAAAATTGGCTTGAAGTTGTTGTTGGTTTGAGTCCTTTTTTTTTTTTTATTTTTTTTCAACAGGTCTGAGGTATTAAAAAAAATATCAAAATGAAAAAAAAAAAAATTGGTGCATCCCCCAAAAAAGTACTTAATAAATATTTATGTAAGCTTGTAAGAACACCATATCTTCTCTTTTTTTGNTGGATTTTGGTGTGGTTTTTTTGCTTCCCCGCATTTCAAAAAGCCTTTCAAAAGGGGCACATCTTTTCCCTGTGAAGTGAACATGGCCGTGTTTCTCCATCCTACCCTCTTCTCACAGAATTTGGGTTGGAAAATCCCTCCCGGATCATCCACCTGTTCCAGCGCCCTCAGTGCCTCGTCCAATCCTTCCTTGTCACCTCCAGGGCTGAAGGGGACTCCAAACCTCCCTGGGCAGTCACTTCCAAATCCTGGCCGCCCTTTCCATGAGGAAATTCCCCCCGATATCCCCAAAATGGTCCCCAATCCCAGGTGCCATCCCCTCCTCCCTCACGCCCCCTCAGGGATGAGAATTCCTGGGCACGGTTTGGGACAGACAGACCCCCTGAGCTGCCGGACACACGGAGCACGGCAGTTAACGGTTTTAATAATAATTTCTGCTCAACAGCCAAAAGCTTCTCACTGCCCTTTTCCCAGGAAAAATCCTGGGAGCGAGAATTACGTGTCTCTGAATACCACACATTGGTCTATACCAATTATTAGCCCAGGGCAGCCCCTCACAGCCCAGCAGCATCATTTTGGTAGTTTGGCAGCAATTTGGGCACTTTTCTTGCAGATTGTGGAAGAATAATCAATGAAATAACAGAAATCCCACACTGAGGGGAGTTTGGGATGGATCCCAATCCATTTCCACCCCACTGGAGCTATTCCTGAGGAAAGTTTGGGACAGACAGATTCCCCCGAGCTGCCGGACACACAGAGCACGGCACAGTTACACATTTTATTCTCTGGATGCAATTTCTTCTCAACAGCCAAAAGCTTTATTGATTCCAAACCATTCCCCTTCTCCCTCTTCATTTCTTTTTTTTCTTACTGCACCCATTTTCCCCTCAAGCACTCTGCTGCTTCCATTTTGGACTTTTAGCTCTGCTTGGAGTTTGTTTTCTCAGAAGAAGCCAACGGACAAATCATTCAGATTCTTTTTTTTTCTTTTTCTCCCAAGATCCATATAAATTACATGCAAAACATTGTACATAGAGATTAATATCAAAATGCAATACAGATCAGGTGCACTTTAAGCTGGACTCTAGGATATGGCAAACACACCAGGGTACATATTGCTTTGAAACCACCATTGTTTTGTTTTTTAATGTCATGCATACCACATAATATTCAGTCTTTTGTTTTGTATTTTGGTTTTTTTTTTTCTTTTTTCTCTCTCCTGTTTTTTTATACAAAAATACCAGTGCTTATTATACTGAGTTACTGGAAAAAAAAAGAAAAAGAAAAAGAAAAACTCGGTTCCACGTGCCCTCTTCAAAAGAAATTGTTTTGTTTTGTGAGAGCGTTGGATAAATATATATACACACACATAAATGTTGAGTTCAGACTGTATATATATATATATTTATTGAAGGGGAGGAAATAAACTAAAGGCAGTTTTAACCATGGGTTTTAACCATGAAAATTGAGGAGTTTGGGGAGAGCTGAGTCAAGGTGAGGGGGGGATGCTGGAGAGGAAGAAATGCCAAAATCCCTGTTTGGGGGAGAAAAAATTCCTGTTTGGATGGAAAAAGAGCAGGAAAAGGAGAAGGAAAAGGAAAAGGAGAANTAAAAAGAAATCCCCAGCGATTCAAAGTGGCTCAGGATTCAAAGTGGCTGCAAAAAAAAAAAAATGAGGCTCCATCTTCCACAGCTGGGGAAAATTTTAATTTTTTTTAATTTTTTTTTTAATTATTTAATTCAGTGAGTTGCAATTTCTGGTCTTCTGAGATTTCTTCACCTATTAAGAAAACACAAAAACTTTCCCCCGTATTTATGACAAAAAAAAAACCAACCCAAAATTTGTGTGTATAAACCTCAAATTTGTGTTTATACACACCCCAAAGGAGGCAGGGACAGCAGGACAAGGAGAAAAACAACAAAAATTCAGAATTTTAACCCATAAATTCGAATTGAGGGGAAAATGAGATTATTGGGGGACAGCACAGGGACAAACTCACCCATCCCCATCCCTCAACCCAGGAATTTTTGGGAATTTGGGGCAGAATTTCCAAGAAATTTCCCCAATTTTTCCATTTTGTGCTGTTCCCTGATCATTCAGCAAATTGGGGTTTGGGTGCCACCAAAAATTGATTTATTCAGAGTTTTTCTCCCATTTTTCTTTTAGATATTCTGCTAAAAACCAAATAAAAATCAATTTTACCCCTCTGATATTTCCTGACTCTTTGGGGAGGACATTTTAAAAAAAGAAAATTTTTCTTTACAGTTTAAGAAGAAACATTTGGAACCTTTTACTCACACAAAGGAAATTTTGTGAATTTTTCCACGATTTTTTAAATTTTTTTTTTGGCCAAGGAATTTTCTCAAATCTAAAATAAAGAGAGGAAAAGTTGGGTTTTCATATTCATTATTGGTTTTTAGGGTTTTTTAAGTGATTGGAAAGGGAATAAAAATAAATCAGGATTTAAGTGCAGGGGGTCAAATTCAATTTTGAAGATTCAAAAATCAAATTTTGCCTCATGGAATTCAATCCTAAAAAACTCCTGGAGCTCCTTTTTGGTGGAAATTCAATTTTTCCCAAGGAATTAAAATCAAATTTCAACCTGAATTTCTTCAGTTTGCTGAAATCCTGTGAGTGAGGGGTGAGAAAAGCAAAAATTCCAACCCAAAGCAGGAATTTCCACATTTAAAATTCAATATTTCTACATCCAACACCCTGAGGGAAAGAAAATCCCTTCAGATTTGAATTATTTTTAAAAAATAAATCATTTTTTGCCTTCATTTTTCCATATTTCAATGTGGGTCTTGTTTAAATTGGAATAAAACCTTGAAAATAAAACAACAACAACAGAAAAAGAATCAACCAAACCCACCCAAAACCTTTAAATTTCATTAAAGTGATTTAATTATTAAAAAGGTTCATTAAAAAACCATTTTTTTTGTCAGATTTTAAACTGGTAAATTAAAAAAAA